AGCAACGCCACCACGTGTCCATCCTATTCTGCCATACTCCATGATTCCCTTAGCACCCATGTGAATTTCGCTCTCATGTTTAGAGATGAAGCTGTCACTGAAAGGAAGATAAGCGGCTTTGGTGGCCTGAGGTATTTTAGCGCGGACATAAGTGGCGCGAGGCGGTTTTGTCCCAAGCGATCTGTTTTTCGTTATCAAACTACCCCCGGTCAAACCTTAATTCCAGCCTAGTCCCCCTTCGGAAAAGAATGTCGGTAAAAATTCTACCCTCGGCGATGAGGCAGTAAGAAACATTGCCGGTTTTCTAGCTGACATATTAATCTATGAAGGACAGAACCTAATATGAGCGAGAACTGGTAAATTATGGTAGTGTGGGCTACCCCGGATGAGTCAGCTGTACTGTTCTATTTCCTTTCTCTCACTGGTCGATTTTTGCGGATAATTATCGAAAAGCTGAATTAGTGAACCAGGTATTTGATGTGGCATCGTCATCGGATAACTCCCAAGTAGCAGCTGGTGGAGCCGATAAATGTCTGACCGTGTTCGACGTGGAGACAGGGAAAATCTTACGAAGATGGCGAGCACATGCTGGTGGGTTGTGTATCTCATGATTTCAAGAAATTACAAATTCAAGTTCAATAGCTGTGGAAACTAACAAGGGAGTCTTTCAGGTCATAAACCGCTTTTCTGAAAGGGTCTCTTATCTTGTAGGGGCAGCTGCGCGTACCACAAAAACGCAGCTCATTTTTCCGATGCGCCTCTCAGAATGTCGGAAGAGGGCGTAAGCGAACAGTGGAAAGGTTCGATTGTCGTGGCCCGCCAAAGTTCGACGATCTATTACACTCCACACGAATCGTTCTTGGCTGGAACTTTGCCTTCAAGGGTACTTGATAGTCCTGACACAACTATGACTTCAATTTCTGACGTCAGGGAGTAAGTAGAGCGCACCTACGAGTTCACAATGGATTCAGTGATAAATGAACCTCAGTCCAGAACTTCATATAGTACCCTTACAACATGCAACAACTCTTGCCAAAAAAGGTGCTCCAAGATTTGAAAGATCTCCTTTGCTAGTACGGGAAGGGGATCCGAGCTAGCGAGCGAGGGCCCGGCAAGAGAGCCTTGCAACTGGCGTCGCATATGCGGCATGTGCACCGCGAGCCACTGCGAGAACGAACATCATTACACTGCTGCGACGCTACAACTCGAAATCCTACACCCAAACTCATGAAAAACCATCTTATTCGCAGTTATGGTCGTTTTCGGTGCGGGCTGGGGCGTCAGGGAGCTGGGTGTAAGGGAGCTGGGTTTGCCGGCGGCGGCAGCCCCGCATTTTACACTCAACTGCTGCGCTTGTGGTCGGTGGAGGCGACCTGCTCCCTACCTGTTTCCTCCGCTCCCCTGACACAGCGCGTCTGTAAAAAAAAGCAACTGTAGAAAATTTAATTTTTTCTCTGATGCTGTTATATTCGCTCATAAATGCCGTCGCTTTCAATGAAGAGTCAAATGTGGTATTTTCGGGTTCGACGGACTGTACTATGCAGGCTTTTGATAATCGAAGCCGTAGTGATAAAGCAATACAGGTAATTGTATTGTAGATAAATGTAGTCAGGGTTTGAAGCCACTGAAAAATGGGAAAACTGCATTTCGCAGATGCACCCATCGTGATGACGCTGAAGTTTGTGTGGGTTAAGGTGGACATGCCGCGATTTATAATCGTCTTGCACGCTTGTCCGAGAGCGGAGTTTGTTCTGCCTTCCTCACAAGGGTATACTGGAACTGCATGGAACAGCAGCACTATTTCTCCTTTACTGCCCTTTTCTCTATGGCTGCTATCTTTTTGCCCATGGTAGATCAACCTTTTGGACAGCGTTTTGTGTTACTATTTTTTTGTACATTCATGTCATTCTCCCTCGCGTCTCAGTGGTACATCCTGAAAGAGAATTTTTTGCGCTATCTGATGAATAATCTTCCTTTCACCACCGCCTTTTCCCAGACTTTTTCGAAGCATGTCGATAGGGTCAACTTCGGAACGATATTTTTCTTTGCAACTCAAACTTGGTCCAGTCGCCAAATCGAAACACCGCCAGCTCGACAAATTAAGCCAGGTGTGTGGGGGCCCAATAGTGTTGGAGAAAGCACCGTGCGACAATGGTTCGACAAATTTCGTTCTGGAGATTTCAGCCTTGAAGATGAACCTCGTAGCGGTGGCCTAAACGGCAATTTAGCTGAGCGAGATTTGAGTAACGTGCGTGAGGCTGACCCATCCCAAACAGTTCGAGAGATTGCAGAAAAGCTAGGCGTTGGCAAATCCACTGTTGCGGATGGTCTGAAACGCATTGGGAAGGTGAAAAAAACTCGACAAGTGGGTGCCCCACAATTTGAGTGACCGGCAGAAATTGGCACGTCGAGGTTTCTTCTTCACTGCTTTTGCGCAACAGAAACGACCCGTTTTTGGACCGAATTGTCACCTGTGATGAAAAGTGGATCATGTATGATAACAGACGTTCCGGACAGTGGTTGGATGCCGACGAACCACCGAGGCAATTTCCAAAGCCGAATCCTCACGAAAAAAGATTATGGTCACAGTGTGGTGGTCATTCGGCTGGTGTGATCCACTATACTTTTGTCACCAGGCC